TGGTGTGTTGCTCTTCAGTATAACACATCACTGCTCTGTCTTTTCTTTAGAGAAAACACATTTTCTTATAAAAAAAGGTTTTAGGTTTTAAAGCAGGCAAACCCACATTTTCTTTAAGTGTAACTTATTTATGGTTTACTAAAATCGGAGTGAGAAACATTCTGCCCCCATCAAATGGTTTATGATGTCCCTTAATTATCATACAGCTGCTTGTTTGTTTCATGTGTGTTTGCATGTCTGTCCATACAGTAGTGTGCTGCACATACATGTCACTGGAGAAAGTGGGAGATGTCGAGAGGGCAGGACCCTGATGCAAAGCAGCACGTATGATTTATGGGGAAATAAATGGGGTCACTGTAGGCACGGTAACGGGATCCCCGAAGGAGGGGGGGGGGGGGGGGGGGGGGGAGGGGGGGATTCTTTTGTGGTTGTAATGGTTCCACGGTATCTGGGGGTGGGGGGGCAGCATGTTGGTAAGCTGATGCGGAGAGCAAAGGTGGCATCACTGCCACTGTAAAAGTGTGTGTGTGTGTGTGTGTGTTTACAGCTGAGCAGTACAACTCGAATAGCCAATGGATGAATCCGCTTCTAAATACTAACTCAGTAACAAGATAGAGTCATGCTACAGTTAAGACTGCACTATAAGAACAAAAGTAGTCTGCATTGGTACCTGAAGACAAACGATACATAACAGGACCTGATTTAGTGATAAATCTATGAGTTTCAAGATGTGAGACACTATTTTACACAAAAAATGATTTCTCCCTCAGTCTTGATAGTCACAATATAAAAAGTCAAATATTCCCTCCATTCAAATTGTTTTACTCACGTTTATGTCCCTTAAAATGTCTGTATCTGTGAACAGTTTTTCACTAGGTGTTTAACATTCCTCTACTGACGGGGCGAGTTACATTCAGTCAGAATAGCAAATTGCTGTCATACAAATGCCGACCCTTATCTTCGCAAAAGCAGTCTTTGAAACAAGACTGGCAAGCAACCGAAACCCTCCAGCAAAGAGAGGCCTTACAGAGCATGGATGTATAAAGAGAACTGGATTCAGCGTGTGAGTCGGGCCTGTTTATTCCTAAGAAAGTTGCTCAGTGGTGCAGGATAGCAGAAAGGGCCTGAATTTAGGAACAACAAGTATGGAGACTTAGGTTCATAAAACAAGCGCTCTTAAGCACCGCCTCCAATTCACTCCGATACGGCCAGTATCAGCTCAGTCAAATAAATGGTTAGGGAAAATAACTATACATTTGTCTTTTAGCTAATTTTACAACTTTTAGAACTGATCTTTATACAGGCTGCTCAAGTGGGTAGTTGATTTACCTCAAAAGAAATTATCCACTGATTTACTTTCCCATTGTAAATCAATGGGAGTCCATACTGACACAGAATATGTAGTACTCCTGTTCGACTAATACAAAAATTGGCTTCAACTTCCGGCGGGTTTGTGCATGTGAACTTGACCCTGAACTCTCTTTCCACTCTACCTACGAATGACAATAGATATTTTTGTACATTTCAGAACCATTGCCATTTTTTCAGGCAAAGCCAGTTACAAGACTACAAGGCGACGTAAAAATAAAAGAATAGTCTACCAGATTGAAACTAATGGAAACCAAAATACAGTGTTATAATATGTATATTTACAATATACAATACCATATACCTCTATCTATATGCAAAGTCTATTGACTCATATTTTTCAAATAATTGCATATCTGCCGAAAGCTGTCACTAATCCCTATTGAAACTGCAAATTGGTTAATCAATTAACAACAAAAGAAATTGGCAAGGATACAAATAAATAGGTAACAAATAAAAACATTTTACTCAAACACATACCTATAAATAGTAAAACCAGAGAAGCTGATAATGCTGTATTGGTGTCTTAATATTTTCAAGAGCTGTACATACATGTTGCACTGTTGGTAAAAAAAACCTAAAAAGACAACCGGAAACAGGAACATTTTAGCCGACATTTTCAAATAACAATATTGTTATTTTGCAGCCAGGGGTTATAACTTGACGAACTGTAACATTTGAATACCTTGTTAAAAAAGATATATATCAATCGTGTGATGATTTTGCTACATTAGCTGTTTCGATTTTATTTTATTCAGATGAACTCTTTTGACATTAAACTTCAGACCTGGAAATAAGATTATGAAGAAAACGGCTGCAGTGTGCAAAGTGATATGCAGTAGTGGGCTTAAAAAGTCACAAGGCATATTAGCAGAACGGTGAAGACAGCTACAGAGAGGAAAAAGACTGAGTGAGACTGCGTGAGAGATGGTGAGGGAGGAAAGAAAAACCAGAGTGAGATAGAGACCTAAAACGCTCCCGAAGCCTGTCACATGGGGCCCGAAGTCGCACGGCTCAGCACTTCCTCTTGTAGGTCCGTCCGCTCCTGACATTTATCTGCTTTATTAGATTATCTGGGCTACATGGCTCATGCTGGCACACGCACATGCAGATACATACATTCACGCGCACCTCTCGATTCATTACAGCGCTAACTGCTTACTTTAGGTTTATGCCCTCTTTAAATTAAACCACAGATAACCACGGGAAAACAGAAGGGAGGAGAGGCTAAAGCTGGCCATTGAGGAGGAAATTAAGAAACATTGTTTGGGAGTGTATTATCATGCATGTGTGAGTGGTCATAAGGTTGCTTTTTAACGGGCTCATCTATAGGGACTCTGCTTCCCATCATTAGTAATTCAATTTGCGCTTTATTAGCAGCTCTTATCGGAGGCACAGACGGGGCAGCTTTCCTCACTCCATCTTCCTCTGCACTCCACCTTTTCTCCTCTTGATTCGGAATCCCCTTCTTTAATTAGAGACCCATGTGTTCCTGCTGTAAGCCGTTCAGGGTGTCCACATGACACGGAGAAATGATGGAGAGGAAAGGAAGGGGGGGGAAAGGACGTGCAAAAAAGTTACAGAATCAGAAAAGGAAAGGCAGAGTGATAGACACAGAGCCATGGGGACGAATAAAGCCTAATGTTAATAGTGATGGCTTTTTCTAATGTCTTCTGACTTCATTGAGTATGGGAGATTACACCAAGATGGGCATGAGGCGTGTAGGGTACACGCAGAATGACCGGAGGGTTGGAGGGGCAAGAGGAGGGGGAGGGAGGAGGGGAGAGAGACGGAGAAGGGAGGGAGGGCTGTAAAAACAATGATTGCTTTCCATCAGGTTAGGCCTATATTCTACAGTTCGTTAAAACAATCCAATTTGCAAAAGGATAATTATGCATTAGCTCCTTTTTATCTACTGGAGGGAGAGCGGTGCCAGGGCTTGATAGCGGTGGCGCTGCCTGCCTCCACCTCTGCAAATTACCCGCTATCGGCACTTGTTCGCCATCACGGCTGAATTGGGCAATCAATTAAACCCCCCCCCCCCCCCCCCCCCCTTCACCTCCTCCTCCTTTTAGAGAGTGCCTGTGAGCCTCTCTAGTGACAGCCAGATACACAAAGCCCAGACAAGGAGGAATCCTCGGATGTGAGCTGTTGCCCTCTACTGGAGACAGCTGGAATAATGGCTGGAGGGCCAATTAGTTGTCTCTCAATTCTATAAGACATAGCTTATAATCATGTGTTGAGTATGTGGTGTGTTCACAGTGGAAAAAGAATAAATCGGTAAATACTAGACTCCACTGTTTTGCTCTTTTGATAACGCTGCACAATTTGCATATATTAGACTCACCCTATCTCATTGCATTACATTTTAAAGTAAATAAGAAAACTGCAACTACTTTGCATGCCTGTATTAATGTTATTTTTTTGCATTATTAAATTGTTTATAGATTTTATTTTATTTTAAACTCCTTTGCAATGTTTTGATAACCTGCTACTGCAACAAAATGTGTTTCCAAATTGGGATTTATCCGTTCATCCATTCTTCCATCCATCCATGAATATTTTTTAAAACATATTTATATCAGCCTTAAAATCTTAGGAAAATCTTTCCGGTGAAATACAGGTTTTTTTGGAAACTAACTGCAAAAACAATGTATAAGCATTTAGGGAAATACAGAATACGTTCTACAAGTATGCAGTATTCTGAGAACACTGGGGCACAACACAAGAACTGAAGCAAGACATGTTGCCAAAGTATTCCCTTTGGCAACAAGTAGTCACTAAAAAGCAATATATTAAGACACAAAGAACCAACAAATAAATCTAACAGACAATGTCCTACTTTGTTCAATTGAGTGGAAGTAAAGCCACTAGAACAAAGAAAAAAGAATAGTTCCAAAGACTGAAGCAAAGAGCGTTCTGATGATACAACCCCTGACTGTCGGTTTGAAATATTTTATGCCAACTTTGATACATAAGAAAAACCTAAAGACGTGGCAATGCTCTGATAAAAGGGATGCAGCACAGACATTTATTGTAAATGTAATAGAATATAGAGGAAGTCGTGCATGATCCTATAATATGGAAGATTAAATAAAGACCCATCTGCCAAATGTGCCCTTATGTGTGAAGGTGCCAAAGCCGAGCAGTCTGTGTTAGTTCCATTTATTTATTTTACCTAAAATACATGTAAACATATACTTTTTTAAATAACAGAACAGTTTACCAAACCCAACCTATTTGGGAGAGTGCTGTAATAAAAAAGGTATCTCTTTTATTTTTACTTTTGCCCCATTTGTTCTGGGAAATCTAGTATCATGGGAGGTGTGAATCATTACAATGATGTTAATAGCAGCATTAGACGTAGCACTAAGATAGAACAGGCCTGCAAAATAACCATTACCAGTGAAACTAAAAATAATATTATCAAATCCTAAAACTAATAATTATCTCAATAATCACTCATTTGGTCCTAATGTCAGGAGTTTTGAAGTGGTTGATGGACAGTTGGTGAGTTAGTGGCTAAAACAAGTTGCAATAGCACCACCAACTGGCCATCCAGTGTAACTCTAAACTAAAGAGTGGGTGGGAAATCAACATTATATACAAAGTTATGTTGCTGTGGGTCTTACTGTATGGTTGCTGCGATCCCCATGCTTGTGAGTGAGGGAGAAAAGAAGGAATATTTTAAAAAAGAATAAAAAAAATAACAATAGGCGCTTTCACACCGGAGTACTTTTCCCAGTATAGTTCCGATAGTTCTTGAAATGTTGCGTTCACACCAAAATAATCCGGAACTAGAATTTAGTTCATGAGAACCTTTTCACCCCTTTTCAGTCCCTGCTAGAGAGCAGGGACTTCCGAGCGATTTACTCGGAAGCAGCTTCTACTGAAGCCAGTCCCCAACTCCGGGGACTGGCTTCAGTAGAAGCTGCTGGGAGTCCCAGCAGCTTCTACTGAAGCCAGTCCCCAACTGCGGGGACTTCCGGCCGGGGACTTCGGGTGGCAGTATACGCCGTGAAGTTGTTTGCGGCCTGCCAGTAAACCCAAAGCAGAAGAAGACGAAGTGACGTCAGCGGCTTCATTTGCCTAATCCTCCCTCAGGGAACTTATTCCGGTGTGAACGCGATCTGCTCTTTGACTTTAGTTCATCAGAACTGAAGAGTTCTGATGAACTAAGTACTGGGAACTAAGTACGGCAAAGTACTTGGTGTGAAAGTGCCTAATATGGTTCTTACATTTCTATCAAATATTGCACACTATTGTAACCTCAAACTATGTAATGTGATTTGCAATATAGGAACATATGGTTGGCAACTCATAACAGGGAAAACTGTCCATTAAAAAACAACCTAATGAAATGAGCAGAACTAAGTCTATACTATCACTATCAACACACTTGTGTCAATACTGTTAACATTGCACATTCCTATATACTGCACGAGTTATTTGTCATAACGTTCTTATTGTATTTGTTTATTTAATTTCATTGTAAACATTTCTTCTTATTCTTTACATTTTTTATAGTATTTTTTGATGGTTATCTTTCATAGTTGTATATTTGCTACATTTTAGCAATTTTTTTTACCACCTTATTACTTTTAATGTGTTTTTGCGTGGACCATTACAAACAAAAGCAAATTCCTTGTATTTTATTTATTTTCTATGCTTATTAGCTTTTATCCGTGCTTGCTTTTGCAGTTGTTGTGTTTTAAAGGATTTGGATGAATGTGCTTTTAATGGTGCATCTGCTTTAATATGTGCTGTGTGTTTTTGTGTGCACTGACTGCTTACGTGCTGTTATTGTGCTTATGTGCTCCTTTATACTTTGTTTTAATACCATCAACCTGCAAGCTAAATCTGGCACATTACATTAAAGGTGGGGTAGGTAAGTTTGAGAAACCGGCTGGAGATCGCTAGAATTTGAAAATACACAACCGGAGAAAATCTGCCACTTCCTTACAGAGCCCCTCCTCCAACACACACGAACGCGCACATGACCAATGAGGGCACGAGATAAGTTTGTGCACAGATGGAAGGCTGACAGGCAGGTAGGCCATCCAGTCATTTTAGCCGGGCTGGCTAAAATGATTGGTCGTGCTTTTTACAGTACTACGGCTTCCACAGATTACATTTTTTTATGGATCTTTTGTCAAAGCACTTCAGATATTCATTGCTTTCGGGATGTTAAGAGCATTCCATGAAATATAACAACAAGTGTATCTCGAGCCAGTTTCTCAAACTTACCTACCCTACCTTTAAGTTATGTAATCAAGTGTCAATTAATGTGAATTGTCCCGTCTTTATAGGTAAAAAACTATTATATAACAAAAGAAATGTCTAAATATTCCCAATAAACCTGACTGATTCCTACCTGTCCTTGCTGATGTGGGGGAGAGCCGCCTCAACTTGTGCCTACCAAAAGACACCAGCTCCCTGGAGGGCGTCCTCCGTCCTCCTGTGGGACTCCTGGCGTAGCTGTGCGTCCGACCGCGGGGGGAGTGCTTCACCGCTGACGGGCTGCCCCCCTTCTCTGAACCAGCTCCACTGTAGTTACAGGACAGAGGGCAGAGGAGAAACATGTGATCAGTAATACATCAGAAGCTACTTTTATCCAAGTTAAGTTGAATAAAATACAATTAATTAAAGGTCTATTTTTAGGCATATATTATGGGTCTCAGATATATAAAAATATATAAAAAACATGTATGATGTGTTTTGCACAAAATACCAAACAGATCAAGCATTTTAGACATCCCTCATATCCCTCTGTTTCAGCCCTGTTAGAGAACTGCTGATCTGGGTCCTTAGCTTGAACAAAAAAAAAAAGGGGAAGGAGGGGGAGCAAATGCCTGCTAAGAATTCTACGTGATACTCAGCTAAATGCTGCCGTGATTAAATGCCATATCATGTTCCAAACCACATCAAGGATTATTTCTGAAACAGTATGGAGCTCAAATGCTTTTTCTCTTGCGGGTTTACCACAAGGTGAGTTCCTTTTTTTATTTCCTGCTCTTTTACACATACTCTCTCCAGTACAGCTTAGCTCTGAGTGTTAGCGATGCTTGATAATACCATATTACTTCCAAAACAGTCGGGCATTGTTTCTGATAGCGACGTTTCTGATAGTGCCGTGAGTCATCGTGAGCATTTACGATATTAAGTCATATCGGACCTATCGAATCTGGATCAGCTCCGTTGTTCCCCCGTTTTTAGAGATTTGGGTACAGAGGAAACGAGAGAGGGCTTTGTTTTCTGACACTTTGTGAGTTCCCTGACACACCGGGGACACATATTTATATATAAAAAGACATCAAAAAGTGCATTTTGCATGATAGGTCCCCTTTAAAGTATATGCCATACTTTACTACCTCCATCTGGCAAAAGACTTAGGGTTGCATGATAACTAAATCAAATGTATTGAAAAATGCAATATGGACAAGTGCAATTTTCCAATAGCAGAAACCACAATATGTCTTTAAGGCAATATATCTGTTGATAAACCATTTTGAATTAAGTTTTAAGGAGCTGGGGAGAAATAAAACAAACATATTTGTTTGGTAGAGATTATCTTAAAAAATTAAATCACCCCATGATCATTTTAATATATGTTTCAATGATAATAATTCTAAATGATCCCTCCAATAATGTGAATCAAATCGCAATAGCAATACCAATCTGAATAATTGCAATTAGTTATTTATTCCAAAATGTGCAGCCCTAAAACAGTTATTCTTAAACATTTTATTTTATTTTTCATTCGTCTTGGTGTAGAGCTAAGACACACGTTACTAGAACTTACCTACTAGCAGACCTCCGAATGATTTTCATTCTGCTGCGGAGCTTGAACCCAGCAGGTGAGGAGGAGGGCATCAGGGAGGTGCGTTGGGTTACAGACGGGGAGACAACGAGCCCTCCTTTCACGCCTTTGTTGTTTTTTTCAGACGTCCAGTGGAAGGCAGATCTACGACGGGCTACTGCCGCCACTCCAGTCGCTGCAGCAGAGGAACTCCAGCCTCCAGCCTTCCAGCGATAACGGCTGCTCAGTGAGGAGTTGGGAGAGGAGCCCGCAATTCCCTTTTTGATCTTAGGAGAGGGAGTGGAGGCTGCTCTGGGTTTCTTGGTCGTCTCTCCCTTCTCCACGGCTCTCTGTGCTACAAACATGGATTTTGGCGATAGTGACTTTCGAGGGATTCTAGCCTGGGCTCCAGCCGAGGAGGAGACCCATTTGTACTTGGAAGTCTTTGGGGTTATATTGGCGGAGCTTATCTTTCGAGGTAACTTCTTAGTAGGCGTTTTCTTACTGATTGCCAAAATGGGGGGGCTTGCACCTGCGACCCCAGCTTTTGAAATTGATGGCGGGGCAACAGTCACAGATTTGCCTTTGGGTGACGGAATGGAGCTAGCTTGTTCGGGCTCCACTTCTTTCTCCGTCTGGCTTTTGATCCAAGTGAATTTTGATTTTTCTGTAAAAGATGCACCCGTCTGGCCCTTGCTCGATTGATTTGTGGGGTCGGCAGACGGTTGTTTTGATACTTCTGAAAGCCCAGAGAGAGGCGGTATGGCATTAGCAGTTGTAAGAGTTGCTAGTTTTATCGTAGTAGCAGTCAGTTTAGTCCCAGTGCTGGTTTTGCTCGTCAGGGAGGGTTTGATCTGTGCTTGATGGTTGCTCTGCAAACTGGTCAGGGTGTTGGACTTAACTGAAGGCGCCACTTCGGCAGAAGCATTATTTTTCTCTTTAGGCAGGAGAACACGCCTGGTTTCGGTCCTATCCTGAATTGCTGGCGTCTGTCCCTGAAGCTTTTCGTGTTGAACACTAGTGCCTTTTTCATCTTCAAGCTGATAAACAGCTGCACCAGTTTTTCTAAGAGTATCACTGTGTTTTTTCTCTGTTGCAACTTCCCCTAATGATGAAGCGGCAGTTGTGATTTTATCACTCTTCTCTCCTCTGCTGTGACTGGGCAGTGAGGTGCTGTGAGATACACTTTGGGACTGTCCAACAGAGGAGGCAGAAGCTGATGTGTGTACTACAGAGGACTGGAGGTTCTTGTTGCTCAGGGAGTATGTTTTCCTCCAACTTCCATGGCTGTGAGGAGCTAACTGTCTCCCTCTGGAGCTGTCATGATGATGGACAGATGTGCTGTGACCTCTTCCCCGGGCTGATGTTGGAGCTTCTGGACGCCTATGCTCATCTCTTGCAAATGGAGCGTCTCCATGGACACTCTTGTGAGTATTGATGAGATCTGAGAATGAGAAAATAAGTTATTCAGTTGTACAATCAGATTACAGATTTATAAAAAAAGAAAAAGAAAACAGAGACCTTGTAAAGAGTTGGATTTATACACAACATTTGTTTTTTCTTTATAGTGATAGGATATGGTTTAGCTTTAGCTTGTAGATAAAAGGAAACAAACGAAGGACCAAAGCAATATTTCATACTGTAAAATGTAACGTTAATTAAAACAAAGCTGTTTTTTTCCTGTAGCGTTCATCAGTTAAGTGAACCGACCGTTTACCGTAATGCTTTGCATCTGAACATGTGGCTAAACTAACCTGTTGACACATTAACATCTAACTAGAATACCCTAGCTAGCTAACTAATGCTACATATTTTTTACATGTAGTATATTACGGATGTTAAATCACTGAATGTTGTTTATAAGATAATAACATGATAAAAGGCACCAGCGTGTCGTCTTAAGACGAATGTGCGGTTTGAACTGGATGCTAAGCTAACGATAAACTTTCATTCTTAAATGCTTAAAAACGCGCAACATTCACACGACAGCTCTGAATTTAAAGGAGACAACAATTAAAACCTGTTTCCTAACCCGCCTGGTCACAAACTGTTAACGTTTAAAACGAGGAATTTACTTTGTAAAAGTTCAATTTCCCTCTTCAGTGCTTCTCTCTCCTCCATGTTTACTACTTAATGTCTTCGTCATCAACCTACGACAAAAATAGGCCCTTCCGGATGATGTCAGTTAAACCGCCCAATCACAGAACGCCTTCAGAGCGGATACTGGTTTTTTGCCAGCCCTTTGTCTTGTCTTACAGGTAAGATTGTTGCCAAAGTGCCCTGTAATTGTCTGCGATTTTATTTGACATGGTTAATAGAATTGTTTGGGGACTTAACTTTGATTGTAGTTAAAGCAACACAAAACCATCAAATGAACAGAAGGCATTTTAAAGTTTATTTGTATTATTATTTTCAATGTTTCCCAAATGTCATGTGTCATTAAATATGAGTTGTCTGTCAATCAAAACCACAGTAATTTAGACTAGATGCATTATAAAGTGACAGCCAATGAATTTACCAATACTAACAGAAATAAGGCCCGCGCGCCAAAAACATAGCAAGGAGTTCATTTCATTTAATTTAATTTCAAACCTTTATTTATCCAGGTTGTATCCCATTGAGATCATTGATCTCTTTTTCAAGGGAGACCTGCTCAAGTAGGTTCCACATGAAACATTAAAAACATAAACAGAACAACAAAAAGGACATCATACAGCATCATAATTGTTATTGTTATATTGAGTTATCTTGAAGTTATGGAGTGTATTTATAGGTCCACAGCATTTGCTGAAATGCAACGTGATAACGTGTATTTCTGGTCTTGGTAAGAAAAATAACACAGCCTTGCTAGTGGAACTTTTTCCCAGAAGATTGTTCAAGTGAAAACTGTTCTCATATCTGCCAGTGGATTATTCAGTGTGATTGAGGCAATACAGTCATTCTAAAAAGATAAGTTTGTGTTGTAAAATGTTTAAAACTGTACGCAAAAATAATAGGAATCCAGTAAGCATTGTTATGAGAATACAATTCCAACAGAAACAGAACCCTAACTAACCCTAACCCCCCCCCCAAAAAAAATGAAAGTGGGAACAATTTGAAGAAACTTCCGGGAGAGAGAATGGTTAGTGATCCTTCTCCCTGCATTTACAGACACGCAATAGCTGTGTTTGAGACTTTATATAACCGATTTACACACAGCACCACGTGAATGGTTATTGATTGTCTGTAAGACCGTACTGGGGGCTCTATAGTCCAATCATCATTTGTAAACGACTTGTGTAAACTGGCTGTCAACTGATTTCAAAACAACGGCGTCACTATTATTTTATTTCTGACATTAATTATATCTTTCGTAGAACTTCGTTATTGCCAAAAGGTTGTTCAAGTAAAATTCAATATTTTTATCGATGAGGGCGCTGATGACGACTGAAGTGAAATGAAACGGGAAGTGAAAGTTAAGGCTGCTGGTTTGGACATAAACCAAAAAGAGCGTAGATAGAAGAGAAAGCAAGGCTTAAAGTTGCTTGAGAAGTGAAGGTAAGGCCTACTTTGTCACTATTTCTCCTGAAAGTACGAAACGAGTCCGTACTTTCTCACATACTTAATGCTAATATGTGACCAATATGGTTTATTTTGTATTCGTTTTTCTTTGTTTTGGACTCGCTTTTGGGCCAATGTGTTAGACCCATTTGTGGTGGTGGCGTTTCGACAGGGAGACTAAGAGAGAAAGTATTATAGATATAATTTGTGACGCACCCTTAAACGTTTATTTGATTCCGACAGCTAGTGCAGTGTTGTTGCTAACGTTAGTTAGAGAGAGAGCTAGCTTGAGTGTTGTTGTCCACACAATTCATATGAAAAGTACTGTCATTGTAGTGACGCCTGTGTGTGTGTGTGTGTGTGTGTGTGTGTGTGTGTGTGTGTGTGTGTGTGTGTGTGTGTGTGTGTGTGTGTTTACAGTACCCTGCTCATCACCATGACGTCAACAAATTACCTGTACTTCATCGTAAAGACAAAACCTCAATTCCAAGGACTCATAAATGCTGGCCAAATATGCTACATCAAGGAATCCATCTACAATAAAAAACAGTCAGTCGGAGAAAGGTCTCCATCTTCTGCAAAGTTGCCCGTCTTCCTTCTTGGTTCAATTTCAAACTTAGATTATGATATAGAGGTGAGTAACATGGATAAACTGAGTGCACAGGAAGTGGAGCTGCTTCAGGCCCTCCCTGAAGTCGAAGAGAGGCTGACCTGGTTCAGAGAGAGAGAAGCTCTTCAAACAGCTCTGGGACTCACACTGGGAACTCCTGTGATTGTGGAGGAAGGAGGAGAGAAGCTCAGAGGCATCATTCGCTACATTGGACCGATTACAGAGACCTCATTGGATCTCATTTCAGGAAAGTTCTTTGGCATTGAACTGCAGGTGGGACTTTAAGGATGTCTGTTTAACCAGATCATATATGTATTTTCTTTCCTGCTTTCCCTGGCTGAAATACCCATTTTCATACAATTTTATTTTAGGTTAGATATATACTTTTGATATTAAAAGCATCAACCCAACAATGGAGCTGAATGGAATTGGATTTGTGACATGCAAAGAAAAACAAGTGATTAAATATGGTGATTTTGCACCTTAGATTATGTCAGAGATAAAGATTAATGGCTGATACCACTAGTGGATGTTGTTGGTTGAACTTGTATATATTCTATCAATCATTAACAGTAAAATGTACAGATCCATTTATAGAGGTATTGAATTTGAAAATGTAAGGTATATTATTAAGCAGTGCTGCTATGCTTCTTTCTCCCCAGGGGGAAGACAGAGGGAAGGGGCCCACTGATGGGTCCTACAGAAGCACAACCTTCTTTGCCTGTGAGAAATATTCAGGCATTTTTGCCGCGTTCTCCAAAGTCAGACCTGTGGTTCCCAGCTCCTTGTCACCCTCCGTCCCAAAGCACTCTGCACAAACTGAAGCAGAAGGGCTAAACGTGGGGGATAGAGTCACCTACTTCATCGATGATAAATGTCGGCATGGAATGGTGCTGTATCTGCAGGGAGATTCTGTTAAGATCTCTACAGTGAGTAATATAGCATTTTTTTAAATGTAAATAGCCCAAAACATTTCTCAAATGGTCTCCACGCATTGATTGTCCTTTTTTTTACTTTTGTAACTTAGTGACATCACTATGTATCACATGCGCTTCTATTGCTAGCACTCCAACACACTGTACGTGATTTGCTATGGGGCGGGACAACGCTAAGCAGTTGACCAACCACAACAGAGCCGGCCAGTTAACCAATCAGAGCAGACTAGGTACTCGTTTCAGACAGAGGGTGAACAAATAGTGAAAAATAAATACCTTTTTGAACATTAAAGCATGTAAACATGTCACAGTAGAGGCACAACATACAAATGTGAAAAATAAGCACAATAGGGCCCCTTTAAATATGTGATATGTTTTGCTGCTTTTTAAAATGTTGTTTAAAAATGCAGCCATTCCTTAGTGCTCTACTCGTCTGGTGAATAAAAGACACCAGTCACGCTGACTTATTCCTAATATTTGTTAATATTATATCAATATGTATATATAGTTGATCTTATTATCACCAGGGATCCTCATAGCACTGTAGCTTCCTGGTTCTTTGTGTATACTGTAAAGGGGATGCTAATACAACAAAAAAAGTGTCACTTCCTTAAGTACAAAGTGAGCAATTTGCATTACATTTACTATTTGCCATTTTGTGTTTTTTCAGGACAAAGATGAGTCTGGAAAGAGAGGGGGCGAAGTAGAAGTTCCACTGCATGAGGTTGTTAAGGGGGAGGTGCCTGCAGGTTCGAGCCACTCCTTACATGATAAACTTTGAAACTATTACACACATTTGTAAAACCTCTGACCCAAATGTATGTTTCACCGCAGAGCCAGAGAGTATGGTTGTTGATTCACCTCCAGAGGAACCAGACACTGAGGATCTGTATACGGATCTCAGCGTGAACTCTGTGGTGGAGGTGACTCTGGGTGATCGCAACTCCTACGGAATCATCCGCTGGATCGGCACTCCGCTGGGTCGACAGGAAATCATGGCTGGACTAGAGCTGGTAATATTTATACCCAGGCCTTTCGCTTTAAAATGTTTTGTTGGAAGATATATTGTCACAGAAATATCTGCGATAAACAATATTATTCTTATTTTAGGCCCCAATTCTATTTGAAATTTGCCATCTGTTCAAGTAAAGGAAACTCATAATATTATATTGAAATAATCTCCAATCAAAAGTTAAAGGCTGACCTTTCTGTGACAGTTTGTAAAGGTTCTTCTAATGCATGTTACTGCTTTCCATTTCATTGTGTGTGTATTAAGACAACTCTTATGTGTATCCATCTCCAGGAGGAAGACAAAGGAGTGAGTGATGGTACTATCTTTAAAGAACGTTTCTTCAGTTGTCCCAACAAGAGAGCTCTGTTTGTGAAGCTGCAGTCCTGCCGTCCTGACTCACGATTTCAGAGCGCATCAGCAGATCCCTGCAAAAAGATGCCGAAACTTGAAGAAACAGGTCAGAACAACACAGATGAAGTGATTTTAGTTCAGTTTTGAGCATTACCTTGCTTAGAGTGGTGTTATGTTGTTGTTTTATGAAAATCCATGTATTTCTCTAAAGTACGATTCTAAGTCGGCAGTGGACACATTGATGCTGTGACCGAGTGACAGAAAAAAACAATATATTTTTATGTTTTATTTCCAGTCCCACATAACTGGAATATTCTGGTTGTTTTTTAAATAGTATTTATTTTATTTTGATTTGATTAAATATCTTATAGAAATACATTCAATCATTTCAGATAAATAATCATTTTAGAATGTAAAATAAAGAAAACCTGCATAGTACATACCCATTATGATTATTATACTAATTTAAAAAACAAAACAATAAACCTATTTGTATAGCACCTTGTATACATAAAATCCAGCACAAAGAGCTTTACAATATATCATTTAAACCTCAAATAAACATAAAAACAGGGATAGAATGACATAATAATGGCATATAAGATACCATTAATATTAAAATAGAATGCATTTTAGATAAAACATATAAACCACCAAATAATGTTAATATTTAAATCAGTCTAGGCAGACGGAACATAT